GGAGACCCATCGCAAGATGCAGTTGCGGATATAAACCCCCATGACCCTTGGACAAGCCAAAGGTAAAGTAACCTCGCATCGTTGCTGTGGATATATCCGCGCATCTGAGAGCCACAAGACATGCTGTGGGAAGAGGGAGCAGCGTCTTTGGGTAGCCTGACGCCAGGAATCATGGAAAGCTGTGGATATCGATATCGATGTGACCAACTTCAATACACCGTTTGACGATTGGCATCAAGACGATTCTCCGAACGGGGCTCCATTGAACCTCAACGTTTACTCTGAGCGCACGAGAATTCGACGGTCGGTAGACGCTAGGGGAGGAAGGCACGACGCAAATGCATAAAGAATTATTGTTGAACGAGGAAAGACGTCGGGGACAAGGCGGGTTCAGGTGGCTGTACATAGCTCGTGCCAGAAAAGCTGCGATCTTTGTGCGAAGGCATCTGTAGACACTGCCGGAAAGGCGATTTAAGAGATATCACATTGTTGCTACAGTGTTGCTACAGTATTGATACATAGATATTATGCGAGTCCATGCTTCTTGAGAATACACTCCATCGACACGGACCTTCTAGAGGGCCGCATACATGAAGAGTCACGGTATACTTAGTAGTACTATACACCATTCCATTGCTTCATGTCACTGTCCATTCTCAGCTTCAATTAGCTAGGTTTTAACAGAACTGTGAAGAGACTGGAGGCTCACTGTTCCTGCTTATCATTTGTGACCGAGCATGGTCGACAGTCCTCAGGTTAACCACTCTGTATCCCACGAGTTCGCAGCCTCCAAGGAGCTCTCAAAGTGCTCGATATCGTCCACCTCCGGGAGTGGCATAAAGTCAGACCAAGGCGCGCCGGGAGTGTACACCCCAAAAGAATGCACGCCGAGGTGTAGGATATCCCATCAGGTCGTCGATGAGCATGTCTAGACTTGAGGGATGATAGATGTCGAACGACTCCGGAGCTTGGGGTTGGGGGGGGGGGGCTCGAATTGTAGAGTCCAGCTTGCGGGCTGAGGAGTGTTTGGGAGTGAGGGAAGACCGGGCATGGGATCTGAGAATGGGCTTAACGTTACTGGGCCGGGGGAGGAAGGGGTGAAGGGAAGCCCTGTCATGGGCATTGCGCTAGACTGAGGGGTACCCATTGGGGTGGGTGGGACAGAGGGAAGTCCTGAGACGTCGTCCATGAGTGGGCTCAGGATAGCCCCCGGGATGGCGTAAGCAGCGGCGGCTGAAGAGGCGCTGGCATGACGATGGCGAATCGCGCGATCGGTGGTTAGGAGCGAAAGACGGTTGATGATAGTGAGGACCGTGCCGAGGATGGAAGAGGTGGATCGGTTGGAGAAAGGCCTTGCGAGGGTATCGATGCGAGCCCTTAGAGAGGAATTTGCGGAAGACTGCGCCTGTGGACAAAGCTAGTTTCCTGGCGAGTCCGTTGATCCTGCCGCCGATTGGCACGAGTCGGGGTGGTCTGAGCGCCATGGGTGATCTCGGATTGGCGAACGACCCAGGTGAACTCGTCCTTGAACATCTGAGTATTCACCAAGCCGAGCAGGAGGTCACGGTCGATCTCTCGTGCGGTCTTCGTTGCATAGTCTTGGAAGCGGGGGACTAGTATCGGTGCCTGAGCCTCTCGGGGACCTGGCTTGCGGATGGATCGAGGACTCTGGCAGACACGGCTGCGAGACTCGAGTACTGCTCCAACTATGAGGTTGATTAGACATTGCCAGAGGGCTCGAAGAATGATAAAACGTACCATCTCCGCGTCGCTGCCATGCTCGTCCATGTTTGAGGGTTAGGGTGGGCTGCTGAAGCCCTGATGTTTGGTGAGGGAAGTTCCTAAGGCAATACAGCCATTGTGCCAGCTTATATACGCACCGGGACAGTAGTAGACAATTCTCGAGCGACGGTCTTGTTGTTCTTTGTAGGTCCACTTAAGTATCAGTCGCCACGCAGAATATTATAATTGCTAGTTCAAGGCATCCGAGAACCGATGGAAACCGTCTCCTTCTTTCCGGACTCCTTGATCATGCACTGCCAGGAAGAGGGTCAGCACGATACATAGAAAGCTCCTCCTGGCGTTGTGTTTCTGCGGCAGTGCTTTGCCATGGCGATGTCGAGACCATTGTGCTTCGCAGAGAACAAAAGCATAGAAGCGCTCGACGCTAACAAGAGAAGTCCTTGGGATCGTGATAAAGGTGCTATCTCAGGTGGATTTCGGGAGATTCCAGGAGATGACGCTAAGTATGTACAGCCTCAAGAATGGCGAGACTCTTGATTAAGCAAGAGCAAAGCAACATTCATCGCAGCAGATGGTGGTGGGAGGAACAAAGCCTCGGAGCACCAGGCGGAACACTTCCAAAGGCGATCACTGTGGCACTGCTGCTCTATCACCCCACTCCTATCCCTCCGTCATGTCGTCGGACTACGCACCACCACCGTACGCAGCGAGTAACGACGAAGAGCGTCAAGGGCTCCTCGAAGACGAACACAAGCCAGACCTAGGAAACAATGAACCACTCACCTCATCATCTTCCTCCTCACCGAAGGGCAAGAAGGCGTGCTGCAAGTCCATGAACCGCCGTCGAGCCATCCTCATCACCCTCGGAGCCTCGTTACTCGCCGCCATCATCCTCGTCGCCATGTTCCCAGAGTGCTTCACTGGTTCTCGCTCTAATCTCTCGCATTCCAAACTGATGTCGAACGGAACACATGAGTTCAAGAAGACGGTGCTCATCGTGTCGATCGACGGTCTTAGGTGCGCGGCGTTCCCAGTTTCATACCAGCCACAAGTGCAGCTTTACTGACGCGTATCTGCGACTACAGGGCAGACTATCTGGATAGAGGGCTTACACCGCATCTTCTGGATATCAGTAGGAAAGGACTACGTGCTAAGTCCATGCAGCCTATCTTCCCTGTGAGCCCCTTTGATTATAATGATATCTGTGAACCATGACTGACTGGAACTGGTATACAGACCTTAACGTTCCCGTAAGCAAACGCAACACTAGACGAGACGACGACTGATGCTATCTATGATCTGCATAGAAACCACTGGTCCCTCATGTATGTACCATGCACCTTGCTTCAGACACGACTTCTGATCCTTGCTCCTAGGACCGGACTATTCGCCGAATCGCACGGCATAGTCGGCAACGTGCGGTTACTTTCCCCTCAATCTCAATTACGACGCTAACACCGGTACCTCTGTAGAACTTCTGGGATCCCCGTTCAAAGCGCGAATTCCACTACAACCAGATTTCCTCATGTTGGCAGCCTGAATGGTGGCTCGGCGAACCGGTACGCCCTCCCTTTCAATCGTCAATTGGTTTACGTATGCAGAGACTGACCTTTGAAATGCTCGATTCAGATGTGGGAAACTTCTGAGCGAAGCGGGATCGTCACGGCCAACCTCATGTGGTGCGTTGTATCTGTCTATCTGCCTTCTGAAGACTGCGCTGAACTATGACTCTAGGCCTGGACCACCGAAGACGATGTCGGGAGCATCGTCGACGTACTTTATCCCGTGGAGAGTAAGTCGTCGACTCTGTTCCTGCATTCGGGAAGCATTGTGAACGCGTTTGTAGGACCACGTATCGTTGGAGGAGAAGCTGGACAACATTCTGAGCTGGGTTGATATGCCATTAGAGAAGCGTCCTCAGCTGATCATGGGTGCGTTTGATGAAACACCTACTATGCTGATCACAATGCTCACCGTACTCGTCTTTCGCAGCATACGAACCATCTCTCGACCAAGCTGGCCACAAGCATGGTCCGATGTCAGGTCCGGTGAACGTAGGTCTACCTCCTTGCTGAGCTCTTCGACGTCACCTCAAGTAGATAACATCATAGGAGACTCTGGCGAAAGTAGACATCTTCGCCAATGACCTCCATACGTCTCTCGTAGCGCGGAATCTCTCTGATATCGTCGACATCGTGTTCGTGAGCGACCATGGAATGACGGACACGAGCCATCCTGAGAACATATACATCGACGATATCATCGGGAAGGAGGGATTGGACGCCATTGATCACGAAGACGGTGTGTACCCTCTTCTAGTTTGAAGTTCACCTGCTGATTCATGTTCGCAGGCTGGCCGGCAATGGGTCTCCGATTCAAACCCACCGCCAACGCAGGCCACTACCTCTCCCTCTTCCTCAACGCATCATCATCAAATCCAGACAAATTTGACGTCTACACGCACGATACGATGCCGCAGAGATACCACTTTGTAAAGAACGAGAGGATAGCGCCGATCTATGTGGTGCCGAGGATGGGGTATGTGCTGACGACGAGGGAGAAGGGGAATGTCGGGATGACGAAGGGGGTGAGTTGACGTCTTATTGTTTTCTTTGGGAGGATGCGCTGACTTGGTTTGATTTCGCAGAACCACGGATACGATAACAAAGACCCCTCAATGCAGGCGATGTTCGTCGCGCACGGACCTTTTGCGGCTGTCACCAAGGCTTTGCATTCTCAGAAGATCGCGAGCGCATCTTCTTCGAGCACAGGGGAGCTTGCAGTGAAGAACAAGGGCTGGCACTCGGTCGCCGACGACGTGTTTGTGATGGACCCGTTCGCGAATGTGGAGATATACAACCTTGTTGTGAAGTTGTTGGGTGTTCCGGAGGGGAAGGTGGCGGGGACGAATGGGACGGAAGGGTTTTGGGATACGTACCTCTGAGATGATCTCGGTGTTGGTTGTGGATTTTGTTTTGGCTGCTAGCGCTCGTCGTTAACTTCGATATAGATACGTTTCGGGGACCTTATACCAGATCTAATTGCGGGCACCGTGCTCGTCATCTATGTAACATATGACATGCATATTATCAACTGTTTCTCTGACACCCCGTATTTTCTAAGTACTCCAGGTGGTGATTGTCCCGATGTTGACCATAGCTTTAATTTTTTTAAGCAAGGCACGGCGTGATTCAACAATGCTCTTCACGTATTTTTAATGGTTAGGACCTGATTAACGTAGTACCCAGTACCAATGTGGCGAGATGGCCGAGCGGTCTAAGGCGCTAGAATCAGGCAAATATGCTCAAATCTAGTCTTTCGGGGCGGGGGTTCGAATCCCCCTCTCGTCATTGGCTTGAATTGCCTTTTTGCCAACCAGATACAAGGACTTCGGAATGGTAAGAGCAATTGGAGCAACAAGTCCAAATTGCAGTAGTAAACTTTTGCTACGCATGGTCAACTATGTATATGTATAAAACAGGGGGGGCGTACAAGAGAGAGAGAGGGAGAGAAAGAGAGAGAGAGAGTAAAAGAATTAGATGCCAGTTGATGCAGCAACTAGATGTGGTAGCAAAGATGATATTCTGTCTAGGGAATCAAGTAGAGTTCCTCAACCTTATATATCATAAAGGTGTTGACAGACTTAGTCTCATTTCTCTGTTTCTTATCTTTCTCTTGCGCTTTCACTTTCCATCATTGTTTCCATCATGTTCCGTGATATTCCATAGGGTTCCAGATTGTTCCAATTGTTTGTTCTTGTTTGTGCACAGCCTTGTCTGCTGTAGTATATATAGAGGGGTTCCCATCAGGCCTGGTTCCTTATCTCGACCTCTTTATCATTTGTTCTTTGGAACCAGACAAGTAGCTACTTCACTGTACTTCTTGTACTTGTATTTATCTTTATCATCTGTTCTTTGGAACCAGTCTCTTGTGCTTGCTTGCACTTGCCCCGCTTGTGACATTAGATCAAGAGAACTACTGCACCAACGCCTTGGTTTGAGGGCAACCTTGCAGGCAACTGTCATCACGCCTCCCGCATATGGCATACCAGATTTGCCGGAGAGCCCTACCACATTGCCAGTATCTAAATAGGGCATACTTCCGTCCCTGCTACTTCTAGGCCTTCCACACTGTCTGTTCTGAAAAACTCCATTGTCCCAAAAACCTCCATACCTGATCTGGGCACACTTGACTCAAGCCCGGAAATCACCAAACCTTTTGACCGGGCAGAAGACTCTTCCGATGGTTCCACCAATAAAGAATCCACCAATGAGAACACTAAGACTGCCTCAGATACTACCTCTGCCAGTAACCCTGTTATTGAGACCACCACTGCTATTGTTGCAAAAGACCCACTGCTCAATTCCATTACCCCACCTGTGCAGATCCTTACCCTTCTTATTCCAACTAACCCCACACCTATCACCCTCCCCATCCAAATTTCCCTGCCATCCCAAAACATGACCACCACCATCTGCAAGATCTCATTGATGCCTTCTGCCAGTTCAAGAAGAGTAGTTCTATTGCAAAGCTAGCCGTCTTCGCAGGCAACACCTACAATGATGTGTGTTGTTGGGTCACTCAGTTTGAGAATTGGGTCAATAACAAGAACAACCTCAAGGGCAATGAGCTGAAGAAGATCAGGGCAGCGTTGGGGCAGTTTGAGGGCAACAAAGCAATGACGTGGGTGGCTGTGCCGCTGGCGCCAATGATGACAAACGCACCCCACTGGACAACCTGGTCCACCTTACTCAAGGACTTTTGTACTCCCTGGCTCCCAGCCAACAAGGCCACCCTGGCGTTGGAAATGCTAGATAAACTCAAGCAGTTGCCCAAGGAGACAGTTTTGCATTACGCCAATTGTTTCACCAGTGTCACAAATTGCACCAAGTTGAAAGATGCAGGGAAGAAGGTGTACTTTATTAAGGGCCTGGGACAGCAAGCCAAGGCATTTTTTTACCTGGCTGACACCATTGCTCCCAAGACCAACAAGGCCAAGACATTTGAGGCTGTTGTTTGCAGGGTGTTATATGCATGCTGGATGAGTGCAAATAACATGTGAATCTGCATATATAGTGCCACCTGCCTATGTCTAATACCAAGACATAGTGGCCTTTTGGCTCAGTGGTATAATTGTCCAGTGGGTAGCATGGTTTATTACGCAGGGTATGCACAACAGATGTTGCTTATGGTAGGGGCACTGTTACATTGGAGAGTGCTCAGTTGGGCAAAGGGACCCAACCTTGGAGGGAGAATATAATCCTGGGCCTGCCATGGCTTTGTAGAATCAACCCACAGATTGACTGGGAGAGGGACAAGCTCTCAGTGAAACGTCCACCAAATGTTACCATTGAGGAGGAAAAGGACAATGAGAGAAAGCAGATTGGCGGAACAACAATAGCAGAGTGCATTGTGGAGCCAACATTAGAGGTGCCAGAGTCAGGGGCAGCACCGCAGAGCAAGGTACCCAAGGAGTTCCTAGCAGAGGCTAAAGCTCCTGAAGGTTTCCCGGAGTCTAGCAAGGAGGAGGTGGAAGAGGGACCAGGGGAGTTGCTTGTACCAATTTGGATTTGAGCAAACAGGACACAACACCAGCTGTGGGCAAAGAAGGGTGTCATTGGGCATCATTCAGAGGAGGTATGGTGTGTAGCAGGGTTTACATACTTTGTAATAAACCGTGCTACCCACTGGATGATTATACCACTGAGCCAAAAGGCCACTATGTCAGGTTATCTAACATATGCGGGAAGCACTATATATGCAAAGTCTTGTATTATGCACACTCCATCTGCATGCACATAACATACTTGCAGCAGCTAGCAGAGAAGGCCAACCAGTCAAAACCAGAGCAATCTTTTGAGGAGATGGTGCCAGAGCAGTACCAGAACTTCAGCAAGGTGTTCTCGGAGCAGGAGTTGGAACGGCTTTCAGCACACAAGCCGTGAGACCACACCATTGATCTTCTACCAGGGGCACCAGAAACCATATACACCAAGGTCTATCTGATATTGCTAGTGGAACAAGAGGAACTGGACCGCTTTCTGGACAACAATCTGCGCAAGGGATACATCACTCCATTGAAATCACCCATGGCCTCACCTGTCTTTTTTGTCAAGAAGAAGGATGGGAAGCTCCAATTTGTGCAGGACTATAGAAAGCTCAACAAGTATACAGTCAAGAACTCCTACACACTACCTCTAGCTGCCGACACTGTCAGCTGATTGCAGGGAGCGCGCTACTTTACATCACTAGACATCTGCTGGGAATACAACAATATGCGGATGAAAGTGGGAGACAAGTGGAAGGCGGCATTTGTGACAAACAGAGGTCTATTCAAACCAAACATGATGTTCTTTTGGTTGACCAATTTGCTGGCAACATTCCAGGGCCTGATGAACCCAATCTTCTCAGATCTGGTGGCAGAGGGAAAGGTTGCAGTGTACCTGGACAACATCCTTATCTGCAGTGTAAGACTCAGACAGTGGTCTGCAATGCAGCACGCGTAGTAGTCTATTAACAAAGATTAGTATCAACAGAACACACTGAGAGTGTTTGCGTACCTATTAACAAAGTGAACAAATCTGGAGAGCAGCCATGTCTGATTGCACTGACTCTTTCCCGAAGAGCCAAACACAACCAAACCTGCGCCACCATCCAGCTTTGCTGCCTTGTTACTTCTACACTAATTAAATATTGTAACATTCAGCACAAACTTGGAGGAGCACCAAGCCGTCACCAGTGAGGTTCTGAAATGCCTTCAGGACAACAACCTATATTTACGCCCAGAGAAGTGTCAGTTTGAGAAGGAGCAGATTGAGTCTTTGGGGTTGGTGATTGGAAAAGGAGCAGTTAGAATGAATCCGGTGAAAGTAGCCGTGGTACGGGACTGGCCAGTGCCAAAAAATGTTTGGGACATCCAAGCATTCCTGGGTTTTGTCAACTTCTATCACCATTTCATCAAGGACTTTGCAAAAATTGCACAACCTCTCAACAACCTGACCAGGAAGGTTGTCTTGTTCTTTTGGGGATCCCATCAGCAGGTGGCATTCAAGCAACTCTGTGATGCCTTTGTCGTTGAACCAATCTTGACACTTTGGCAGCCAGAGAGGCCAACTTGGGTGGAGGTGAATGCATTAGGGTTTGCAGTGGGGGGTGTTCTTCTTCAGCAGGCGGAGGACAGGCAAAGGCACCCAGTAGTATTCAGATCAGCATTAATGATACCTGCCAGGCAGAACTGCAAGATTCACAACTGGAAGATGTTGGCGTTGATAGAGATGTTGAAGGACTAGAGGGCATATTTGGAGGGGAGCAGGGAGCCGGTGGAGATTGTGACGGACCACAAGAACCTGTTATAGTGGAGCAAGGTGCAGGACCTGACATATTTGCAGGCCAGGTAGGCCTTATACTTGTCACATTTCAATTTCTGGTTGGTGCACAAGCCTGGAAAGGCAAAAACGGAGGCCAATGGATGCTCTTTCACAAATGCCACACTATTGGGTTCAGGACGCAGAAGACCACAAACAACAGGTCATCCTCCAGCCAGATTACTTTGTCACCATAGCTGCAAACCACCTATCCCAGGCGCCCCAGAACAAGTTGGAGGAGAGAATGAGAAAGTTGTCAAAGAGAGAGGTGGAGGTGTTAGAGGCGTTGAAGGGGCTTAAGGAGGGAGAAGGATTGAGGAGATTGGCGGAAGGGTTACTGGAGTGACAGGAGAATGGGGAGTTGGTGTATCATAGGGGCACGGTATATGTGCTAGCAGATGAGGAGTTGCAACTAGTGGTGCTGGAACGGTGCCATGATAGTCCAACGACCGGTTACAGAGGGATTCATGCAACTTTTGGTCTAGTGAGTTTCCATTATTGGTGGCCAGGGATGTGTTTCTTTGTAGAGAAGTATGTGCAAGTTTGCAATAACTGTGCACAGAAGAAGCATCATTGTCACCCTTGAGCACACACTACTCTACTGGAGGTCCCTGCAAAACTGTGGGAGGACATAGGAGTGGACCTTATCATGCAGCTTCCACCATCAAATGGTTACAATGCTGTCTTGGTCTGTGTTGACCTTTACAGCAAGATGATTCACGCCATTCCATACAAAACCGCTATCAACACCAACAGCATTGCAGACCTTTACTACAAGGACATCTTCCAACTTCTTGGACTCCCCATGCGCTTTATCTCCAATTGAGGACCACAGTTTGCTGCTGCACTCATGCAGACACTACTGAAACACCTAGGCATTCAGTCCAACACTGTTATATGCATGCTTTGACAAAGGATTATCCGTTGGCAAACAGGTCTTGTCCTTAGCCTGACACCGCTTCTAATAACTGTGGACTTGTATTTGC